ACATGAGAGGGGGGAGGGTCAGAGGGAGAAGCAGACTCCCTGCCGAGCAGGGAGCCCGATGCGGGACTCGATCCAGGGACTCCAGGATCGTGACCGGAGCCGAAGGCAGTCGCTTAACCAACTGAGCCACCCAGGCGCCCTGATTGTTTTAGATAAATCTTCAGTGATTACCTTTGTGTGTAGATCTTTTTCTCTTTTTAATTAATTCCGTGGCATAAATTTCTCAGCAGTGAGATTATTCTATAAAAAGGCTTTGAACATTGTTTATGGACCTTGGACTGTAGTTGCCCTTTTTTAAAAAGTTGGGTCAGTTTATGCTGCCCTCAGCACGATATCTTTTTATACCTTGCCAGCATTGCTTATTATTTAAGTATTTGATAGGTACAAAATGATATTTTATTCTTGCTTGAATTTGCATTGGTTTGATTGCTAACAAGTTTGTGTTTACTTTTTAAACTTTTCTAAGAGAACTTTGGAAAAGCATTGCTGCTTTGGCCCAGAGGTAGTACATTTATGTGGGCAATATTTGGATTTCACAAGCTCCTGAGGTTCCCAGCTGCCTCCATGAGAAGAATTTCTCACTGCCAAAGTTGCTCTTTATAGGGGTTAGTAGGTAATAGTTGGGTGTGGGTAACAGGGTCCAGAACGGAGACTGAGTACTCCAGCAGTGCTGGCCGGAGGAATAAAAAACTGGCGTTGGAAACAGTAGCCCACTACCAGAGTGCTTCTCAAGGGAGGTGGGTGCAATTTTGTGTACCGTGGACATCCTGGTCAGTGAGGCTGGAGGCAATTCTGAAAAGCTCCGTAGGGCTTTGCTAGTCCTCCTTCCTTCCTGTGCACACCCTGATCTCTTATACACAAAAATTACTTTTTCTTCAACCATTTTTGGTGGTCACAAAATGAATTACATGCTACCTTGCTTCTTAACAGAGAATACCAAATATAATTTAACTTTGTTAATGACAGATTAATCTGTTTTTGTTCAGTGCATTAGTAGAGTGAGGACTTTGAACTCTGAGGAGCATAGGGTAAGTTTGCCTCTGCACTGAATGACCCCAGGATCTTCCATGTGTTAGTTTGTGTATTTGCCTTTTATAATTCTCTCTCTTTCTTTGCCATTGTCTGTCACCTCTGACTTTTGTCAACGTGCCCATCTCAGATTATGCTGCCTCTTCCAGGTTGGCTAAACTGACAATCTTTAGAATTGGATCTAAAGGAAAAAAAGGTTAGGCCCTAAGTGAGGAGTGTTCTGTGTAAAATATATGTGCCTTAGACCATGATCTTTTTGCATTTCAACCCATTTAGTTTTGCTGCATAAAGAAATTAGGTTTTCTTCGTCAGAAATCTTTTGCTACTTATTGAGGATCGCCAAGTTGTTTTGTAAGTGAGGTCAGAGCATCTACGCTCCTACCTTCCAGAAAGCAAGGCTACGTATTTGTGGTCTATACTTACTTTTCCGCACTTGTCTGTTTTTCATTATTTTGCAAGGAGCTTCCCTAACACTGCCTTCTCTTGCAGGCAGATAAAGCTTCACTGTGCGGAGCCTTTTACAGACTATTGGACCTGCATTGATTATTCCAGCCTGCAGCTATTTCGTCGCTGTCGTAAACAGCAGGCTAAGTTTGACGAGTGTGTGCTGGACAAACTGGGCTGGGTGCGACCTGACCTGGGGGAGCTGTCCAAGGTAAAAAGTCTCCTGCTGGGGGTCTCGCCTTCTCACTAAGGGGTGGGTAAGGGCAAGAGGCGGTCAGAAAAGGGTCTTCTGTGAGTACAGTTATGATGGGAGAAATCTGTTATTTACCAAACAGGTTAATGAGGGAGTGATTATACACAATCCAGAAGGGAGTTTATTTAATAGAAATACTCCTTTAAATAGATCTTCCAGCATGTGCAAATTTGTTTTTGTTTAATTAGCTAATTGGGGAACAGAAGGGAGTAGATGAGGATAAACACAATGTTAGGGGGGCACTGGCAGTTGAAAGCATTGAACTTACCGTGGAATTCAGAGAGGAAATAGGATCGAGGGTATGCCAGATTCTTCGGGCCAGATTTATCAGTACCTAAGATTTTTAAAAGTATATCCCTATAGTTTATTTATTTATTTATTTTTTTAAGATTTATTTATTTATTTGAGAGAGCGAGAATGAGAGAGAGTACATGAGAGGGGGGAGGGTCAGAGGGAGAAGCAGACTCCCTGCTGAGCAGGGAGCCCGATGCGGGACTCGATCCCGGGACTCCAGGATCATGACCTGAGCCGAAGGCAGTCGCTTAACCAACTGAGCCACCCAGGCGCCCTCCCTATAGTTTAAAAAGCATGTTTTCCTACTCTTTGTTCTATATTTCCTGTCTCAGTCATGACACCACCATCTCTTGAAACATCAGAAACCTGAATGTCTTTTTTCCTTCATGTCCCCATCTTTCTCTCTTTATACAATCATCAATTCCTGTAGGTAAGCATTTCCTGGATTAGTTTTTGAATCCTCTCACTGTCTCCACATCTTGAACAGGAGTTCTTAACTTAGGCTATGTGAATGTCTGGGAGGGGTGGGTGGTTCAGTTCAGATTTTAGAAGACCTTGTATCACCTGAAATTGAAGAATTTAGGATTATAATTATATCTTCACTGTAGGCATGATCTGTGTGGAAAATAAATATCACTTTCTTTTTGAAACTTTTCAGGGGCTTGCTCTTGCTTGCAGTATTCTGGCTTACAAGGTCCTTTGTGCGCTGATCTACCGTGCTGCTGCCTTTTTTTTTTTTTTTTTTTCTTTTAGAGAGGTGGCAGGGTGTGGAGCAGAGGGAGAAGAGAATCTCACGATTCTCACTCAGGGTTCAGTCTCACGACTCTGAGATCATGACCTGAGCCAAAATCAAGAGTCAGACACTTAACTGACTGTGCCACCCAGGCACCCCTGACCTACCCCTGCTTCTTGAGCCTCATTGTCATCCATTCCCTCTGGGACAGTTAGGTGTCAAGGTGTGGAGGGAAAACTCAGGTTTGAATGGAGGGAGATAGTATTACTGAATCACTATGGGATCCTGAGCAAATTGCTATTTCCTGTCCTACCACATCTACAAAATAGGACCAGAATTCATTCCTAGTTTTCTGTGAGGATTAAGCTAGAGAGCCTCTGTGAACCTGCAGCCTAATGCCTAGTGCATAGGTCCACAGTTAACCTTTGTTCCCTTCTCTTTATGTATAGTATCTATGGATAGTTGGATCTTAAGCTGGGTGTCATTAGTAGATGAATGGCTTAGCAATTTTGTTTTGTTTGGTTTTGTTTGGTTTTGTCCAGCTTGATTATCTTCAGATGTCTTCTTTTGCTGCCCTGAACAAATAAATCACTTTAAATTGTTGATAACTCTGTGTTGGAAAGTGGTGGGACCTACACATTCACTAATGAAAACAACCTTTTCTCATTTCTGTCTCTGATCAAAGGAGAATTAACAAATCATGCTGTTAAGAAAGTATATAGATTCCTGAATCTTTGTGTTTACATTTTTAAAAAACCTATAAAATACTGTCCTAACTCTTTTCACAAGTTTATTTCTTTAAGAGGATTATCAGTTTTAGTCATACTTAAAATCAGAATCCAGTCTCGTTTTAGAAAGGTGATGACTAGCTGGATAAAGCCTACATTTTAGCTGCATTCTGCTTCCACCAGGTTTCCCTTCTCCCCTCTGTGCCCCTGACCAGTTTCTACTCACTCCTCTGCCCTCAGCTTCAGTGTCAGTGTCCTTTGCCGTTTCCAACCTTCCTGGGCTGTTGCTTTCTCTCACCCGTAATTCCACCATCCTGGCAAGGTTAACATTGGAGCACCTGCTGTATATCAGGCACCTGACTGTGTAGTATCCTAACTGCACTGTGGGCTAATAGTCCATTGGAGAGATGGGAAATTGAGGGTTGAGTAGGTTGCCCAAGGTTGTGTACTAGCAATTAGTTTGACCACATGCTTCTCCTCCTTTTCTCTTTTGATACGGTACAGAAGAGGAAGTTGTTTTCTTGTTCTTTCCACAGTAATTCGTCCTTTTAAGGGGTCTGTTCATTACTTTAAGTTTGAGAAACATTTTTCTAGATTTATTTCATACATACCTTGAATTCCTGAAAGGAGCCACACATGCCAGCTGGAGGCATTTGGAGTAACTCTATTAAGCAATAAGGAACCATTAATGATCTGTTTGGCGGAGGGATGAGAATACTATTCTAAAAACAAACAACGACTCTGCACCTTTAGACAGAAGACTTGGGTCCCAGCTCCAGCTCTGACATGTAGTGTGTATCTTTATCATGGACAGGTTAGCCTCCCTGGTCCTCACCTGTGAACTACAGATAATAGTGCCTCATGGCGTGGTTATAGTAATAATTGTGCTATTGTGTTCCTGAAAGCTCCATTCACAGTAAATCGTTTTTGGATTTGTGCATACGGGAAGACTAATCAGTCATATCACATGGAGTGGCTTGAAGATCAGACCACTACATAACAGCACGGTTATTAACTGTGGCCTTGTCTTTCCATTTCTCTGCGTGTTTCCTCATCTTTAAAGTGAGAACAATTTCTGCTGGGTTTCTGGCGGAGATTTTGTGACCATCAGAGCTGATGTGGATGTGACCACCTTCCATCTGTCTCCCTGTTACCATCGTGTAGTGCTGTACCATCTTGTCAGGCCTCTTGGCTTGGCTCTCCCAGTTCTGGTCCTGCCCTTCTCTAATCTAGCTTCTGTACCTTCCACGCTGCAGACATGCTTGAATTGCTTCCTTGCTTTGGTGGCACCTGTTACCATTGGATAAAATTCAAACACTTGACACGTCACTCAGTACCCTTCGTCATCTGGCCCTGACTACCAGTGTAGTACGTTATTTAAAAGCACAGGCTTTGGAGTAGTAGGCAGATCCAGCTTCGAGTATGAGTTTTCCCACTATTAGGCAGGTGGCCACAGGGAACCTCTGCAAAATGATCTCATGGGAGTGTGAAAATGAAATGGAATAAGGTGCTCAGTATCGTTTCTAACAAGTGCTTGCTCAGTGCTTCATTTCCCGCCACGATTCAAGCAACCTTTGCTTTGGCCATCCTAAAGATACGCCTCTCTGTGTTCACATGTACTGTTTACTTGGAATGTCTTCTCCTGCTAATCTTTCTGCCTGGCTCATGGGCATCCTTTAAGATGAAGCTAAAGGTTACCCCCTCTGAAATCATCCAGCCCCTAGCCTTCAGGATGGGTTACATGTGCAGAGTCCTTGCTCTAAATCCTAAGTCCCAGCACTTAGTTCATGCCTCAGTTGTGATAATTTGGTTGGGAAGTCTTGGTTGATTTTCTTGTCTGGCTCCGTCGGTAGACTGTGAACCCCTTGAGGACAGTGTATATCTTGTTCCCTACTGTATCCCTAACTTCTACCACATGGAAACCCCCAAAGAAAGCTTTCTTGAATATTTGTTCAAAGGTCAAATGAGTCTAAATGTGGTTTGCTGAGGCTTGAAAAAAGAGGGGTAGTTGGGGCAGCAGGAGCAGAGAGGAAACGCTGGGAGGTGCGTTCTTGGTCTCAGACTGTTCCACCTGACCTCAGCCTTGCTTCTGTCCTCTTCGCCCCCCCACAGGTCACCAAAGTGAAAACAGATCGACCTTTACCGGAGAATCCCTATCACTCACGAGCAAGACCAGAGCCCAACCCTGAGATAGAAGGAGAGCTGAAGCCTGCCAAACATGGCAGTCGCCTTTTTTTCTGGACCATGTAAAGATGGGTCCATGGCCCACCCTCAGTCACACGCCCAGACAACCACTGATGAAATTCCCATGCAGTTTGCATCGACTGATAGATTGTTCTTTCCGGGATCACAAACTTAACAAAAAAGTTAATTTATGTGACTTGGCAGTTATTCTATACCATTTCCTGGCCATTAAAAATTTTAAAGGAAACAGTTGTATTTTATTATGTTTTATATAACCTTTTGGCCTTTAAAGATGACTTCCCTTTGCTTGTTCTTCTTGTGGTCCTGCCTGTTCCTCTCTCTTCGCTTTAAGTAGGCGTTCACCTACTAACAGGGAACCACATTCGATCAGGCAGAAATGACTATGTAAAGGGAAGGCCCTCTTACCTGTCTGTGTTCACGCATTTTGAAGTCTTACCTCTCTCCCCATCCAATATCTCAGACAAATAGCTTTCCCTAAAGGTCATACAAGGGAAGCGTCCAAGATAGGAGAAGGGAAGAAATGTTTGAGCCTTGTGACTCAGGCCATGGGAGGGGCCTCCTGGCTGGGTGTTCGGCAGTCTTGCTCAAAGTTTCTTAAAGAACCAAACTTCCACCACTTCCCCTTGATATCCCATCCTCAAGCATTATAACCCAGATGTTTTTCCTGATAGACAAGGGAGGTGGAGGCTGAGCTCCCAGCTCCAAAGCCAGGAAGTCGGGAGGTCTGAGTGTCAATTCCAACCTTGGGTGTGTTCCTTAACCTCTTGTGAGAGGTTGAATTTGAGGACAAACTAAAGGCAACATGCTTATCTACCTCCTGGGCAGGTTAAAGCCACAAGTATTTATAAAGCTCTGGTTCAAAGCACTATTATGTCGTTATTTTCCCTTTCATTCAATTCCTTTTTCACTACCAGGCTATTTCCTCTACATCTGACTGGGTCGCTCTACACCCTTCTGCTGGTGGCCTTCAATTGCACATGGCCCTGCATAAGTCCTTAGCAGCTCCCTGGGCCTTGGTTTCCCTTTGTGGTGCTCTAAAAAGCAGTTGTCCTGTAAGCCTTTCCAGAGGCCTTTCTAACTCCCACTCTAGAGATGTCCAGGCAGGGAGAGTGCTGGGAGGCATTAGAGGAGGTAGAGGGCCTGTCGCCCAAAGTGTCAGCACAGTTCCAAGACGAAGCTCTATGTGATCGGCGTGGCCCCTTCCCCACCCTCGTCCTACCCCACAGTTGGGAACACTTGGGGTGGACCTCACACTCACCTGTTCTGCAAAAGTTCCGGCTGCCTTTGCCTCATTCTTAAATTTAATGTAGAAAAAGAATAGAATCTTGAAATTTAAAAACAGCTAAGGCAACATCTATTAGCCTCTTGGTGGCCAGGTAGTTGGAAGTCACCCCTGGTGGGGAAAGTATGAGCATGTTCACAGATTGGCATCTTTGTGACACCTCAAGCTTATGTGTTGCTTCTTAGATTCTTTCTGCAAAAGAAGCTGGGACCTGCATGAGTAATAAATACTCACTGAGCATGATGCATTGTGCCAAGTGCTTCACATGTCAACTCAGTGCTCAGCTTTTGAAAGAGTTTCTATTTGTCATGTCCATTTCACAAAGGAACTCTAGCTTAGGGAGAGGTGCAGAAGCCCCAGTCCTCATGAGAAATAGCCGATATGGGATGCAGACGAAGACTGGCTCCAGTCGCCACGCTTGCTCTTTGAAGTCAGTGGTTCTCAGCCTTGGGTGCACGTTCAAGTCACCTGGAGACCTTGAAACACCCATGTCTGGTTCCTGCCCCCGGAGATTCTGATTTAGTCAGTCTGCAGTATGACCAGGGCCTGGAGTTTTTGAAAGCTCTCAAGGTTATTCTAAGGTCCAACCAGGGGATAGGGTCACTGGTTGTACACATGAAGCAGATCCAGGTTAAGCGCTACTAAGTAGGAAGTGGCTAAGCTGAGATTTAAACCCAGCTGCATCTGGTTCCAAAGTCCATACTCTTAGTATATACCACTGCATGTAAGTCAGTCACATGAGGTCTTCTTAAAATGAAGATTCTGGTTCATCTGGTCTGGAGTAGGTCCTGAGATTGCTAGTAAGCTTCTTGTTGGTGCTGATGCTGCTGGCCCGTGGACCACACTTTTGGTTAACAGGGGATGAAACCACACCATCTTTCTGAGTGGAGGATCTATATCTAATGAATCTATCCTGCTGCAGTGTCTAGCACCAGGTCCTCCCTGATTGTTAATTCACCTTTTTAGAATCAGAGCAACAAGTCCTGAGCTGTTAATGGCTGCAAATTCAATTGTAGGATGTTTTAACTTTTGCCCAAGTTGGACAGAAGTTCTTGCCTTTCTCTCTCCCCACCTTGCTTTGAATTCCTTGAACAAAGAAACTAACGTTTGGCTTTCCTGTATTCTTGATGGAATAACACATCATAGCCTTCTAGAACCAAAGAGTCTTAAGTAAAGATAGAATCCCCCAGTCTCTCAGAACAAACGTGTCTCTCAATTTCAGTAGGTAAAAGGTTCCAGAACAACTTGAAAGCAGTTAGTGTGAAAGATCTCTGAGCAGGGCTTCAAATAATAAGAAAATCTTCCTGCTGATTCGGCTCGAGAATAATGAGACTAATTCCTCCCATTTCCAAAGGAAGTTTATCTGCCTCTTTTCCTCTGCCCAGCCTGTTCCTGTCATCCCTATCTGAGTGAATGGTGTCTCCATCCTTCCAGAGTCAAACATGAGATGCACCTTTTGACTCCTGCTCACTCCTCTCCATGTTCCTGTCCAACACCCAGCCCTGTTGAGTTCCTTCCATAATCTCTTACATTTGTTACTTCCACTTCTATCTCACTGTCACTGTCCTAGCTTGTTTTTGTTCCCCTTGCCTGGATGGTCGACACTACTTCCAAATGGGTCTCCTACTGCCCCCTCGCCCTCCAGTCCATCCTCTGACTTGCTGCATGTACCTCTGCTGCTCCAAAACCTTCAGTGGCTCCCGAGTGGCTGTTGACTAGACCCCGAATCCTTACTGGCATTCTGACACTCCATGATCTGGCCTTAGCCTAGCCCATCTCCCCACGATTATCTTCTCCTTATCATGTGCCCTACAGTCTCCCAAATGCCATTCCTCAGGAGTGTTCTCTGGTTTCCAAATCATCACTGATGCTGCCATCTACTTGCTGGGAAACAACCCTCCCCCCATCTCTGCCTCTTGAAAGTCTACCCATCTCTCAAGGCAAACACGAATGCTATTTTCCCCAGGAAGTGTCCCCTTCCTATAGCCCGAAGTGGTCTTTCCTGCCCCTTTGTTCCCATGATACAATATAACATGCAGGTTGAGCACAAGGGATCTAGAGTTGGGCTGTCTGGATCTGAATCCAGGCTCTCTCTCCCCAGAGTCTGACCGAGATACCTCCAGCTTCCTCCCCCACCGCTGTTCCCCCCAACTCGATCCATACTGGACTCTGCTCTCTGCCATTTCAGACACCTGCGCCCTTCCTCATGTGCGCCCCCTGCTCCAAAGTTCTCCCTCACCTCTTCTTGGTGAGCCCTTCCCTCAAGATGCAACTCGAATTTGTCTCCTTTGTGAAGACATCCCTCAACTACCCCCAGAGTGAACCACACCTTCCCTTCCTCCATGTTCAAGAGCATCTTTACCATTACAGCTGTTGTACTCCTTGTGAGCAAGAATTGCATCCTATTTTCCAAGGCACATACTTCGTGTCATGGTGGCTGGTGGATAGTCAGTGCTTGATAACTATTTATTGGATGAATGTTATTCAGCCATTGGCCTCTCCGAAAGGGAGTAGCTTAGTAACCCATAAATGTGTATCCCTTTGTGTAGAATAAACATGAGAGTGTTTTCTGTTCAAAGAGAGGCGCTGGTTTCTAATGTAATGATTTAGCACCATTGGAGAAAGAAGGAAACCCTCAGGATTTTGGCCTTTTTTTTTTTTTTTTTTTTCCAAAAAGAGCACAGAAATCTCTGTCACAGTCTCAGTAAAAATGCTGTCTGTGAACTGAAGGGAGAATGCATAAAAGGTCAGATTAGGCTATGGTAATAAGAAATATAATTGCATGCTGGTATTCCTTTAATTTGAGGGTTGAATGCAAATTAAGCAGGCATGCCCTTTCTGGAAGCCTTGTTTTAATCAATTCTGCTGCTCTGGTGGAAGAGTTGAAGCTAAAATGGATGATAATAATGTTTCTTTCATTTGCCATCTGAAACTACGGTATTAGGTGATGTGACAGTAGTTTGATGTACGGGCGTTATTCATTCATCCACCCATTCATTCATTCATTCATTCATTCTGATTGTCTGTTGACCATGCAGCACCACTGTGTTGCTGGGTTCCAAGCATCTGAGATTCCCAGTGGTGAAGTCAGCCCCATGAACTTTCAAGTAAAGCCTTTGGCATCTTTTCTTCTCTATCAGTGTGATAGGCAGAGGGCACAGTTGAGGGTGGTGAGGGGGTCCTGTTCCCAGTTCCATCTCTTACCTTGTTGTGTGGCTTTGGCAAAACACTTTCCCCTCTGAGTCAGTTTCTTTAGCTGTAAAGTGAAGTATTGGACTAAGATGGTATCCAGGCTCTTTTCCATGCCAAGAGTTATATGAAACGTTGTTTCTCTGCTAGCCAACTTGTTGGGGGAGATGGTGGAGTTTTATTGATTAGATCTATTTGCCTGAGCAGTTAATTCTGGAAATTTCACTAAAATGAGAAGGGCGTTTCAGGCTTTGTTTTAAATAAATCACCCACAGTGGCATTTAAATGACATGATGTGGAAGAGATTAAGGGAGTTTATCATCTATTTAGAAATTGTTTTCTTTAACTTTCTTGTTATTTGAGGCTGAGTTTGTTCAGAGGATTATTATGAAGGCTTTGCACTTAAGAGTTAAAGGAGGAACCTTTGGAGACCATCCCCTATTTGGACTGCCTTCTGATTGCCAAGTCCAGTCTGAAGCACTCTGCCCTTGTGGGTTCGGACTGGCTGACACTGAAGGCGGGGGCAGCGTGGAGGGCGGGAGTGGGGAGGGTCACCTGGGGGAGCAGGCAGCAGGACCCGGAATATGAGAGGGGACTGGACATTGGAAGCCAAAAGGCCAGCAGTGGGATAAACTGAGACAGAACCAAGGCAGTGTGGTTGGGAGGCAAACATCCTAACAGAGTCACCTACAAAAGCTATGGGCAGGCAGTATGCAGAAGAGAGCATCAGAATGGCCAGTAAACTTAGGAAAAGA